TTAGGGTCAGGGTCAGGGTCAGGGTCAGGGTCAGGGTCAGGGTCTGGGTCAGGGTCAGGGTCAGGGTGAGGGTTAGGGTCAGGGTCAGGGTCAGGGTCAGGATCAGGGTCAGGGTCAGGGTCAGGGTCAGGGTCAGGGTCAGGGTTAGGGTTAGGGTTAGGGTTAGGGTTAGGGTCAGGGTTAGGGTCAGGGTTAGGGTTCAGGAGGGAAACTGGCAAGGTAGGGGAGGGTTAGGAGAGGGGAAGGTGGGGATCAGTGTTGGGCAGGAACCCCAGGGGCAGGGCCTGGATCATGGGCCTTCCAGGGTCCACACTCGGCTGGCTTCAGGACTCAGGAGTCATCCTGGGGACAGCAGGCACAGAGGGCAGGCCTAGGTAGTCTAAGATGCTATTGGAATGGAGAAGTCAAGTAGGGGTGGGAGAGATGCTGAGAAGTCCTGGGGAGAAGTCAGAGCCTTATCGGGAGTCTAGGGCAAGGGGATGGTAATTAAGGCAGGGGGCTAGGCAAGGCCACCTGGTGTAAGGCTGTGGACAGGGAAGGAGCAGACTCGGACAGACCCTGGAACCTGCCCACATTTAGCTGTGGAGCGGAGAACCCAGCATGGGAGTCGGAAGGAGAGTGTCCCCCGAGATTGTTCATGGCTGGGCTTCCTGGTGGAGTTTTGTCCATACAAGTAAGGAGGCCTTCAATCTCAACCCTGCAGTCACCTTCAAGGATGCTGCTGGAAATCCATGGGTTCTGGGAGAGAAGATGGGGAGAGGACACCTGTGCAAACTCCCAGGACTGGAGGAAGAGGCTCTGCCAGTGGAGACTCAGGGTTCTCTCCAGGTGGCCTTCCAAGGGAGCCGGGATGCACTACAGAACTTTTGTGAATTTCCCATCTCAGCATCACACATCTCCTCCCAGTGATAAATGGAAATGCCACGTCCTGAAGATGATTGCTTAGATGTGAGATATAGATATATACATATATCCATCCATCCATCCATATATATATATATATATATATATATATATGTATTTTACTGTTGGGAATTATATTGTTATATTGTTGGGAATTAATATCAGATGTGTGCTCTCTATGTTTAAGTGTGACTGGTTGGTTTTTTTCCTGTGAAGCCCATCAGAGATCCGTGGTTCAACAGGGAATTCTTACAGCGTAAGGGAGAGGATGTGATGAAAATGGATCACAGCGCAATCACTAACATGGCCTCCGATGTGTGTGAAACCAAAACCACAAACCATACTTAACCAGCAAACACACCAGTCCACCTACAGCGGCACAACTACTCCCGTGCAACCAAAGCACACCAGCCCTTCCCCAGAGGACACAAAGTCCCTTTATCCATCTTTGGGTGCCGTCATTGCCCTTCTACCTTTAATTCTCTGTAACTTAAATACTGAGCTATAAAATTAACTACTATGGCTGTGTTTTACATGAGACGGTAGAGAAATGGGAGAAGGAAAGGGAGACAATGGTTAATACGTAAATGAACAGATTCACATCAAAAGAAGGGCAGAACACTGAGAACGATTACAGCCCTGGTTTCTGCAGCGGGTCACATGGTTGTAACTGTATTTAGAACTGCTTTCTTGCACACCCAGTGTGTGTTCTCTTTGCCCCCAGCAGGCCCCCGAGTGTGGCCTCCTTAACCAGAGACAGAAAAGGGGATTCTGGGAAACGTGGTTGGCTCAGCCCAGCTGACACACAGAGCTGCCCCATTGGCCTTCCATCTGTACTGGTGAAACCCAGTTCCCGTTTTACATACATCTGTTTAAGAACAAAATCAGCCATTTAAGACAAATATTAAGACAACGGTAGTAAAGGTGAATATAATAGATACAATATGCCAGTGTCCAAGGTATGGGAAACACTGATCCATAGGATTAAATATAAGCTTCTCGGCTTGAAAATCATGTGATTCCACAAACTGTAGCCCCTGCCCAGCCCACCCCTCAGCCCAACACCTGTCTCCCATAGCACCTCTGCCTGGCCCTCGGGAAACCCTTGGAGTTGCTAATTCCTAACCACATCCAGAGCTTCTCCGGCTCTGATCCTTCACACACAGCATGACTTCCGCCTGGCTGCTTCCCACACCACAGCCAGCCCCGCAGTCCCTCCAGTCCTCACCTTGCAAACACCTCCTGGGACTTCCCTGGCGGCAGCAGTTAAGACTCCAAGCTTCCACTGCAGGGGGCGTGGAATTGGTCGGGGAACTAAGATCCCACATGCTGCACGGCCAAAAACAACAACAACAACAAAAAAAACCAAAAAGACACCTTCTGACCCAGGAAGACTTCTCCCGTGAGGCCACTTGGGTCCCCGTGGCAGAGCTCGTGGCTCTGTCCCCGCGGCCCATCCCATTGTGTCTCCCTCTCCCCCTGGGTTCTGAGCTCTTCAGCGATGCCTGTCAACCCCTGCCGCCGGAACAACCTTCGCCCGCCCACCAGCTTCGCCTCCCCTCCTGTTCTGGCCCCTGTCTGAGGTTTCCCAGGACCAGACCATGGAAGACCATTTGCGCACCAGTAACCACTCAAGGAAATGCGCACCAGTAACCACTCAAGGAAATGCAGCCAGGGGAAGCTGGTGAGAGAGGGGGACGCAGCATAGGAAAGGGGACTGAGGGGGAGGGAGGGCTCAGGCACAGCCACACAGAGGGAAGGAAGCTTCCATGGCATCCCAGGGCTCCTAAGGAGGAGAAGTGGTGCCGAAGCCTTGTCCTCGCCTGAGGAGGGAGCTGGGCTTTCACACTCCCACACCCCTCAGGGTTAGGAGCCCCGTCCCCTTCCCCTGCGGGTGCTGCTGTGGGAAGCTAGGCGGGGCGGGGTGGGGGGACCGTACGTCTGTAAGGACTCGTCCAAGGAGAGGTGGGCAGAGAATCTGTCCCGAGCCCTCCTTAACCCGCACAGATCCACTCGCGTCCCATATGAATTCCACTCTGGGTGCAGAACGCTGACTGGAGAAGGGCTGGTGGGGTCACGTACAGCCCCTGAGGCCCCGGCTGACGCTTCTCATCTTCCCCATCCTTGGCTTTAGCATCTCTGCTGGTCTAGGTGGCTTGTCTGATGGGGTTACTCAGACCTTTACCCCCAAGGAGCCAGAGCCCCTGCTTGAAAGATCTGGATACCCTTGTCCCCTCAGTGAATGGTTGCTCAGGGAAACGGACCCAGGTCTATTTGGGGGAAGGACCAAGGAAACACTACTCTATACGAATACTGGGAACTGTCGCATCGTAAAGTCCTTGCCCAGGGGACCGGCTTCTCCTGCGATCAGCGGGCTCTGGCTCAGAACTGGCTCAGATCTAGGAACTGGGAAAGAGACTGTGACTTTCCACCGGGGAAGATGACATTGGTCTTCAAGGTCACCACTTTTCTTTTTTTTTTTTTAATATAAGTCAAGCAATAGCCTAGTTGGCTGTTCACCCATCTTGTCCCTGGGAACACCATTGTCTGCTACCCATCACCATGGATCCCTTCAGGCCTGGACGCCACCCTCAGCTTACTGCCCATTTCAGTAACTATGTCTGTCTCGTCCTGGGAGTTCAGCATTACATCTGGCCGCTGCTACTCCAAAGGTGCTGACACCCTGTTGACACGAGAGAGTCCAGTTCCGTGAAGGCACTTCTAATGTCAGCCCAGGTCTACAGACAGCAGCTCCTGCTGAGCTCCTGAATGAAGCCAGTGCCTTCTCACCTGCACACTGCTTATCTCCTCGGGGAGGGAAGGTCCTCTGGGCTCTCCCACAGCATAGCCAACAATGGGTTCTTTGGAATAAAACATCTATTTTCTCCAGACTTCTGATACTTTGACTCAACACTCTGCCCAGGCAGTCCTGGCAACCCCAGCTCACTCGATGTGGACCATCGTCACGTCCAAGCTTCCAGCGGTCGTCTCGGCAGAGCAGTAGGACCAGCTCCAGGTGCCCTTGCCAGGGCGCTACCCAGGGGGACACAGAGGTGTGTCTCAACCTCCAGGCTAATATGCCACCCACTCCCAGCCCCTCAACCCCCAGATCCACTCCTAGGTGTGCTTCCCTTGTTCCCGCTGGTAGGTATTAGCCAGGACTTGCAGGTCCTTTGGTGAATAATCCCTTCCCTCCCTTGGCGGAGCCAGCGCTGCCCCAGCCAGGCCGTGCCGGGCCTAGAACCTCATCATAGGAGGGCAAGTATTGTCTTGAAAGACGTCTGCCTCAACCAGACCTCTTCATGGTCTCTGGACAAGGTAAGAGGCACAGCTGGTGTTTCTAGCAAGGGAAATCGGGTCACACCTGCTGCCCAGAGTTGAGGGGAATGTGGGGGCTTGGTGTTCTCAAGGACGTTGCCCAGATACCCCGGTCCAAGCCATAAGTTTCGCTACTCTTGCATTACGCCCTGTGCCTAGTCCTTGGCAGTCGACGCTTGGCAGAAAGAACCGAGTCCCTTTAAATACTGCATGGAGGCTTCTGACGGTCTCTCTGTGTCTTCAGTTGATAACTGTGGTCCCGAGCCTCTCTTTTACCCTCATCGTGGCTTTAATGGTGCTCAGCGAAACCAACCCGTTCCACAGTACCTATAATAACCGTTTCTCACATCTCTGAAGTGCTCAAGATACCGCATGAGCTGGGGCATCCCCTCTCACCTGGTATCCTGTCCTGTCCATCAGTATAGTGGCCAGGGGTCACCACCCACAAGGGGGCCCCTGTTGCTACAATGGACGAGTGGTCCAAGCCCAGGGTCCCCACTTTAGACTCCACTTGCTAAGACCGCTGTCAACACCGTCAGTCTTAAGGTGGGCTCCCCAGGAGCAGACCTCGAAACAAGGGTCTACGTGTGCGTGATTTATTAAGGCCATGGAGACGCCAAAACTGGCTTCCTCCAGCGTCCACTGTCTGGTCCTCACCCCTCCCAGGAGGGTTTTACTGAATGAGCCCATCCCCCACCAAGGATCTCAGGCTACAAGGATGGCTCTAGGGTGAGGGGCACTGGGCACGGGCCTGAATACTAAGTCTCTTGTTTCTAGAGCGACCAGGAAAATGTGCCAGAGAAATGAAGCTCCATGAAACCCAGAGGTGAAAACACAGGCAGGACAATGTATTTCCTCATTTTAATTTATTTTTCGTTGTTTGTTTCTCACTTACCAACACATCTGTAAAACGTAGCAGGCTCTGTTAGTAAAGGAGAAGCAGGGAGGACAGCAGGGCAGAATCTAAGGAGCCAAATGGGGGAGTCGAGAGCAGGAAGGGCTTGGGGGCCTGAGGTGGCGGGTGCCCCCCCGCCCCTGGCATCATCCTGCCTTCCCACAAGGCATCATGTTGCTGCTGCTTTCACTGAGCCCCAGATGCTTACAAAACTGTCATAAAGAGCATTTCTGTTGCCTCCAATCCCTGTCCCTGACATTCTCCCTCTGACTCCCGGCGATGAGGCAGGGTCTACTCAGGCCAGCCCTCTGCACAGCCTGGCCCGGGAGAACCTGCCCCTGCGTCTCAAGGCCCCGACCCCATAGCCTCAGTCCCTGGACGGGCATCTGAGAAGGGAGGCTAGGGTGGGGCTACCCGGAGTTCTTTGGGAAGGATGGAGGGACCACCCCTTAGGACCTTGGACAGCACTCCCAGAATGCCCTCTGCTTCAGCCCCAGGCTTTTCTATTCAAGAGGCATTAGGGAGCGGCTGTGGGCATGGGAACACGGCAGCAAAGAGGCCTAGAGCCGGCCTGAGGCTTGCCTGGGTGGCCCTGGAGGGAAGGTTTCACCTTCACCCAGAGTGGACTTCCTGGCGTTTGCACATTGACCCAGCAGACACTCGGACCCTGTGTTTATGAACACAAACATTTTAATCAGGATTTTATCCACCCTGATGAATTTTCATTCTAGGAAGTATTTTCAAGGCAAATGCCATTGAGGACAATTTAATGCCTTGATCAGTTTTCTACGAAGTGCAGATACATTTCCTTTTTTTCCCATGAAATAATTTTCACCAGGACCAAATCCTTTTCACGTGCGTTGTACCACGTATATCGGACTCCCTGGTTAGTGTTCGAGCTCTGTCGAATGTCACCCACTGTCTCGTCTTGTCATTGGAATTTCTCCCCTGCGGCTCTCACCTCCAGTAAGTCCAATTTTCCCAGGGAGGCTTCCCTGACCGACTTCTCACCCGTTGGTACCCGATGCCGAATCTGAACCGTGTGCTGTTTGTACTGATGTGCAACATCCGTGCTGTTTTAGCCTCGTCGACTTCCTCCTGTGGAGTGTTTCTGAGGGTGAACCCGTCCGACCACTCGGTTGACCCGGAAGAAGGATGGTAGCCTTTCCCCGGCGATATTCCAGGACGTCCCGAGACCCCGGAACTGGGTCAAGACGTCCTAGCGGGCGCTGAGCTTCCTGGGTGGGGGGCAGGGAGAGCGGCGCCCTCCCCGACCTCGGCCCCCGCCCGGGGTCACGGCGCCTTGTCCGCAGCCTGCTCGGCGCGCGGGGCCCCGCCGGCGGCCGCGCGCGCGCCGCGGAGCAGACCCAGGCCCCGGGAGCGGCCGGCGCCGTGCAGCTGGCGCTCGTGGCGGCGGATCTGCACCTTGTGGCGGAAGCGCTCGCCGCAGTCCTCGCACACGTAAGGCCGCTCGCCCGAGTGCGTGCGGCGGTGGCGCAGCAGGTTGGACGAGACGCTGAAGCGCTTGCCGCAGTCGCCGCAGGCGTAGGGCCGCTCGCCCGTGTGCGTGCGCTGGTGCTGCACGAGCGCCGAGCTCTCGCTGAAGCGCTTGGCGCAGTACGGGCACGCGTAGGGCTTCTCGCCCGTGTGGATGCGCTGGTGCGTCACCAGATTCGAGTGCTGCGAGAAGCTCTTGCCGCACTCGCCGCAGCGGTGGGGCCGCTCGCCCGTGTGCGTGGCCTGGTGCCGCACGAGGTCCGTGCTGCGGCTGAAGCCCTTGCCGCACTCCCCGCAGATGGTCGGCCGGTCCCGGGCGCGCCGCCGCCGCCGCTGCCGGGCCGGCGTCAGGGCCGCGCTGCCCGCCGGGCCCGGGATGGCCACCACCGAGGGCGCCGACACGGCCGGCAGCACCATGAGCTCCTGCAGCACCACGTAGCCCGGGGGCGCCACCACGACCGCGGCGGGCGTCCCCGGGACGGCGGCACCGCCGCCCCCCGCGGCGGGCACCAGCTCCAGCTGCAGCTCCGGCGGCACGGGGGTCAGCTCCAGCTGCAGCTCCGGCGGCTGGGCCGCCAGCTCCACCGGGGTCAGCTCCAGCTGCACCTCCTGCTGCTCCTCCAGCTGCTGCTGCTGCTCCAGCTGCTTCTCCAGCTGCTGCAGTTGCTCCTGCAGTTTGAGCTGCAGCTGCCGCTGCTCCTGCTGCCGCTCCAGCTCCTGCCGCTGCCGCTCCAGCTCCTGCTCCGACCCCAAGTCCACCGGCATGAGCTCCAGCTCCACCTCTTCCTCCTCCTCCTCTGGCTCCAGCGGCCGGGGCTGCAGCTGCTGCTGTTGCAACTGTTCTTGCTGCTGCTGCAACAGCTGCTGCTGCTGTAACTGTTGCTGCTGCAACAGCCGCTGCTGCAACTGTTCCTGCTGCTGCTGCAACAGCTGCAACTGCTCCTGCTGCTGCTGCAACAGCCGCTGCTGCAACTGCTCCTGCTGCTGCTGCAACAGCCGCTGCTGCTGTAACTGCTGCTGCTGCAGCTGCTGCAACTGCTCCTGCTGCTGCCGCTGTAACTGCTGCTGCTGCAGCTGCTGCTGCTGCTGTAACTGTTGCTGCTGCAGCTGTAACTGTTCCTGCTGCAGCTGTAACTGTTCCTGCTGCGGCTGTAACTGTTCCTGCTGCGGCTGTAACTGTTGCTGCTGCCGCTGTAACTGTTCCTGCTGTGGCTGTAACTGTTCCTGCTGCGGCTGTAACTGTTGCTGCGGCTGTAA